CTCAAGCTCACCAGCAACTCCTGTCCGCCTCACAGAACTGTGCTGCTTCGCCAGGGACTCAGGAAGGCACTCATCAAAGCACAGACCAGCTTTAGGGCACATGCTCAGCAGGCTCTGGCCAAGGGAATGCCCTAACTCTCCCGTTCACCATTTACTCAGAGATCCTAGTACACAGAGGTCAGAAGAGCCATCTTGCATAAATAATGAAATGACATTTGCAGATGTAGTAAAGTTATGCAAACTGATTAGAGTCACTCATTGATTAGTCTTACATCCTAAGTCTCTGAAGACAGCCGCAAACGCAAACAACTCCAGTGCTTTAGCATACCCTACCTGCTACATCTTATGACAAAGTTTTCAGTAAAAAGAGTGAAGCAGGAACAAAAAAATTGAATGAAAATCTGGGGCAAGTGAGTAATAAGTTAATTTTTTCAATACAAAACAGCTTTCTTAGCTTAGTAGAACCAGACAGAAATTGGTCAGCATGGACTCACACATACCTGACTAGGTAGGACACAAATATTAATTATTCCTCACTAAAGTATTGAAGATTTCTCTGCTCGCGCCTCCTAAAACTGTTCTGCATTTCAACTGTTGACATATGCCTTGTTAGAATTATAAGCCAGTTTGGACTATCCTAAAATCTGCCAAGTTCAGCAAAATTAAGCTTCAACACTATTAACTGCTAAATACTAAAATGAAAATAGACACGAGACAGCTGAATAGTAATCTATAGCCATTTTAAGGTGTATAGAAGCCAGTTCTGTGTATAAACTAAAATTGAAATGTCAATGAAGTAGTCACAAGATGTGGTTAAGAACTTGCATTATTTTTTAACATATTGGTTACTCAATACCATGTCAAATAATTCCATAATGTTATAAATTGTTACTGATGTAATGTCGGGACTTTTAATTGATCAGGATGATATTCTGCCAGCTCTACCTTCAGACCAGAGATGGTTTCCCCAAGAAACTGTTGAACTTATCTGGACAATAAGATGCTGGACTCTATGCTTGCTATACTCTTGCAATTAAAGAATCTTGACTGAATTTGAAATGTAATACAGCAACAAGGAGGAGGAATCCACCATGGGGGGGTGCAGAGGGTACGGGGAGGGGTGAGGGGATCCCCAGAGCCTATGAAACTATGTTACATAATGCAATGTAATTAGTAAAAATATATATATATATATATTAAAAAAAACACCTTTCTTTGTAAACTAGTTAATTTCTTGAGGCTGGCTCTGTGGCGTAGTGGGTAAAACCACTACCTTCGGTTCTAGCATTCCATTGGGGCACTGGGTCAAGTACTGGCTGCTCCATTTCTGATCCAGCTCCCTGCTAATGTGCCAAAGGAAAGCAGCAGAGGATGGTCCAAGTGCTTGGGTCCCTAAAACCAAGTAGGAGACCCAGGAGAAGCTCCTGACTCCTGCCTATGGCCTGGCCCAGCTCCAGGCATCGCAGCCATTTGGGGAGTGAATCAGCCGAGGGAAGATCTCTCTCTTTCCCCCATTCCCCCTTCTTTGTAATGTTGCCTTTCAAATAAATAAATAAATCTTTAAAAGAAAAGAGTTACTTTTGTTGAAAGTCATACTTAAATTGATTTTTTGTTGATACAGCTTATAATTTTAGATATTCCAAAAGAAATATTTAAGGAGATCCCTTTTTATATAACTTGTTGTCTTTTCTGGTTTTTAAGCACTATTTTTGCCATCTGGGCCTTCTGATATTGAAGTGCACCTGCATATACAAACCTTTGCATTTAATTTTATTTCAAGTTCACATTCAAAATTTGTCTCTTCTTATTACAGCCATTACTTGCAAAATCTAATTTCCACAGCTTGATTCAGTCTTACTGAACTTGCAGTGTGTGTTAACAGAATTATTTCCCAGGCCCTATGAATGCCCAATAATTTTTGTTTGTTTGTTTTCAATCTTAGCAGTACCACAGCTGGGAAGCTGAGGTTGTCGTGTGGGACTTTTTGGAGAATATGAAGTGCGGGAAGATTACCACTCATGACTACACAGCATTTTGAGAGAGCTGCAATGTGTGTGCTAGCCTAAGGGGGAAAAATCTCAATTTAAAATTGGAAGTTTAGTGTCTTTTGAGTGTTGATCATTTTTGCACTTTTTGTTAGGTTAAAAATATCACAAGGTGCAGGAGTTTAGACAAACAACATGTTCAGATACCACGTCTGAATGTCTGGGTTTGCTTCCCAGCTTGGCTTCCTGCTAATGTTGACTTTGGTGTGCAGCGGCAAAGACTCAAGCAACTGGACTGCTGCCACACACAAAGAGAGGCCTCAATTTCATCCTGGATTCTAGCTCTGATCCCAGCCCAGCACTGGCTAGTGGGGCAAAGCAATAGAAAGAGATCTCACTATCTCTGTCTCAGAAAATAAGCAAATTCTAAGTTAGATGACGGTATTTTGGGAATCATCTGTACACGGACCATCTGGTATGAGGTTGCAACACCTCTGCTGGGGTTGCCAGGAGCCAGTGACGAGTCAAGGATGGGTATATATGGTCATTGCCCTTGCCTCAAGGTGGGAGAGCTCTCCAAATCAACCCAGCTTCAGAGCTCACCTTGAAATCCTTGGAGGACTCTGTGGCCTCTCCCCTTTACCCAACAACGACACATCCATTCACGTGCACATGCAGACCCTGAGATGCTCTGCAGTAAACTTTCTGCACACAAGCCCACTTCTCAGAGTCAGTCTCTTGGGACCCCAGATCTGGGATGTTCATGTTCTCCCCGAGTCTTCCGTTACCATCATCATTAGCTGGCTGACTTGTGGGAGAGTGTCTCAGGTCTCAGACAGGTGCAATCCAAGGCTAAGGATGCTGTACTTTCTTATTGCTCTACACACCTGACTATAAAGGCAGAGATAAAATAATGCCTTGATTGTTGAAGCAGAACGTGGACTGAATTGCAGATGGCTGTCTGGGAGTATACGGGTGACCGCTATATTGCAAGTGTGTCTAGGAAATGACAAAGCATCTAATGCTTACATACAGGCACATCAGGACATATGTAGACACACGCGTGTGTATGCGTGTGCCATGATGAGGCGCATGATGAAATCTCTTGTGTTCTGCTCCTTGCTAGAACACAAACCATGCTTTGGGTCAGTGTATCCACACGGTATGCACTCCCTGCCCGTTAGTCTCAGCAGCTGCTCCAATAATCACATTGATTGTCGGAGCGTAGCAGTTCACCCTCCTGTAGTGGTGTAACACTAAGTCATTCATCCCCCTTCATCTCGACACACAGGCCCTGCATCATTACATCACGATGAGCAGGGCGAGAAGGGGAGAGAGACCACATTCACATCTGCCACAACATTTTCTTAGTACTGTTCTATTTCCCCGTTCGTTCTTGTTAATCACAGCATGCCTGATTTGTAAACCCAAACTTTCTAGTAGTTACAGAGAGGAAAAACCACACTGCGTTTCCGGGTTCCAGTATGAGCCGCAGTTTCAGAAAGTGGAAAGGGGGAACCATATGTTCGTTTTTCCACATTTTTCTCATTCATCACCTTTCTTAAAATCATCTGGCGTCGTTTTCATTTGTTCTTTAGTAAAATAATTGTCCATCATATGAATTATTCACCATCTATGTAATTCTTGGGAGATGTGTATGTTCAATGTTTACTTTCTGCCACTGCATATAATGCTATAGTTTGTAATATCCTTATAAAGTGAATAATAAGTATTTTTGGCATGGATGCCTGAGAGTGTAATCAAAAGGAGATATAAATTTTTCACATTAACAGATATTGATAAATTACTTTCTGGAAAAGGTATATAATGTTGCACATTTATACCAGCAAGGTATGCTTTTCTCTAAATATACCCCAGGAAGAGATTTTTTTTCAAACTTTTGCCAGTGCAACACATAATATTTTGACTGGCTTTCCCAATGTTTCTGTATGATTATAGGACATTTGGGTATTTTTTCTTTTTCAGATTGTCTCTTTCATATTCTTTTTCTGCTGTACATATACAATTTTTTTGTGGGTGTTTTGGGCATGGAGTTTTCTGTTAAATATGTCAAAATCCTTCCCCCACCCCGTTGTCTTTTTCTGTGTGTAAAAATGACTGCTGATGGAGTTCGTGGATGAGAGTCTGGCTGGGTGGCCTGGACGTCAGCCTAGCCATGACACAGCTTTCTGCCAAGGCAGGCCTTGGGACTAGCAGGTGGCAGCTCCCATGCAGGAGATCTTGACAGTTCTCTGCTCCCAGCCTCTGTGGGCATTTTGGTCGGGAACCACACATGTCAGCTGTTTCTTTCAAATAGATTTTTAAAAATTAAAAATAAAAAATAACTGATTGATGAACTATCAGTTACCTGATTGTCTTTTTTTTCCCTTTCTGTGTAGAGTTATGTAAGCTGAGTTCCTTGTATCTAGCCACTCTTTCCTTTCTGTGCATGCTTCCCTGGTACTTGTAAATTTTCTGAGAGACATTGACCAAGTGTGTCACAGGTTGATCATTGTACCTTAATAATACGGTTTAATGATCAAAGTTAAATAGTACTTTACATGGGACAAGATTAGAGAACAACAACCTATGTGATACATACAGACACATACATGGAATATGGAATATATATATGTGTATACTTGAGTGTATATTCTATATACGTATCCCGTATATGTGTGGAAATCATATGCTGAAATTTTGTAAAGATTTTCAGTACAGGAGACATCATAATGATAAACTAAAAGCCACAATTATGGGATGTCTGAATATCCTATAGGAAACATAGCTAATATTTTGTAAAAATTGTGTACACTTTAATTTGCATGGAATAAGTTCCAAACATTAGTGAATGGCTCCATTCAGACCCTTCTCACAGGACAATCCAGGGTTTGGATGCTCCCCGGCTCCAACCATTGTCCAAGTTTGAAAGAAACAACACAATGGCAGCTCTCCCCGCCCCTCCCCACGGAGCGGCCCCTGGTCTCACAGCTGGAGCTTGCGTGTGGCACTCACCAATCACATATTCCACCCTGAAGAAATCCCTCGTGGGGTCGTACGGACGGTTGAAGTCGATCTGGACGTAGAACGCCTGCCCTCTCCGTACGATGAGCTTGTTGCTGTCGTACTTGTCCGTGTGATGGTCGATCTTGTTGGTGTCCCACCTGTCCTTGAACAGGTGGACATCCGTGACACTCAGGTAGTCTGTATGCAGAGGAGACAAGAGAGGGAGCCATTGAGCAACTCCTTTAACACCAAGGTGCATGAAACAAAGTGATTTTGCCCAAAGAAGGAAGGAAGGCAGGTCTGCTGAATGGAAAGTGCACAGGGACACCAGCTTGCGTTTCAAGTGAGCTGTTAAAGCTTCTTCCACCTGTGACCGCATTGCAGGCCACACGGCATTCAACACCTTAGACACAGCAAGCATCGGGGTTCCAGCTCCCACGCTGTGTGTATCAGGTTGGGGTACTTCCTGCCACGACTACTATACCTGTGTGACTAACTCAGGGGAAGCAGGAATGACCACTTTCCGTCCTCACCTTCCTAAGGAAGAATCCATTCAGGTAAGGCTTCGGAGGCGGCACTGAAAGGACAGACTTGGTCATGAACACACAACTCTCCTCTTGCATTAGGCAGGGTCACATGCCATCTTGCGTAATTCTTAAGATGGATCTAGCCCCTCAAAGGCAGTGGAAGACGAGGGGACAGGACTGGAGAATGGAAATTAATATCTGTCAGAGATCTAGATGCTGACTTTCCTCCACACAGCAGAAAAGAACCTTGAGGCTCCTCAGCAATTTGAATGACCTGTCTGGGAGTAAAACGCTGGTCTGGCCGATGCCTCTGAGCTTGGGAATCAGCAGTGTCAGCTGTGTCAACAAAACGCCAAGATCCATCATAAAGTAACAGCAGACTACTGTATTATGCTACCATGTCTCTCACACATGTGACACATGACCAGGTGAGACAGCATGTGTGAAAGCCCCACACAGGGGTTCTGCATGGGCCCTCCCTCTAGCCCCTTTTCCTCTCCCTTCTGTAAATGACTACTCCACAGAAGAGGGACTGTGAGCTACCTGTATCCACAGCCATTCAGAAGATCTGGTCTAATATCTGGCATTTCTGGGTGTATGCCTGCAGCTGCAAAGGGCATGGGGAGAGAAGGTTGGGTGGCAAGTAGGTTAGCTGGCCTGCTGGCCTCATCCCTGCTCGTAGATTCTGCCTACTGCATGGTTTGTCCTTGGATCTGTGGACTGAATGTGCAGGGAGCACTTACTGAGTGTGCACCCTCGCACACTCAGTTTTCTGCACTGGAAGTCCTCAGAAACGAGAAGCTGGGCTCTTCCCAATTCTGTCTAGCTCTCAAGCTGAGCAATTTCTGAGACAGCTTCAGAGTTTGGTCAATCCTGAATTCAGAATGTGAGTTTCAAAATCAATGATATTTGACCTTTGATAATTGAGTTTTCTCACCATTAACAGGAGGATATGAATATCAAAATACTGAGTGATCAGCATCAACAGGTCTGGCATTAGGCCTGGCAGCTGGTGGCGTCACGGACTTCACGTCATGGAGCATGAAGTCTGATGGGGCGTTTCCCAGGACGTGGTGCTCCACGGGTTATTCAGATGGCCAAGTGTGACAGACAGCAAGTACAAGATGCTGTTTCATCATTACCACCTCAGAACCTTGCTGTACATGGCTCTCTGTAGAACACATTTATTCTGGTATGCTGAGGGAGAAGATGTTTACTTCTTCCTCCCTCTTCCAACTGTCTTTCTCTGAAATTCTGGGCCGGTTAAGGTCACAATCCTTAGTATTCAATCAGCCAAGGAACTGGTCTTAGTGCCTCTGAACAACTTTGCTGTGTAGAATCTCTAACATTAGAAGCCAACAGCAGTTCTCCACCCATGCTCACCAACAGATCCCTCGACTTGACAGCCTCACAGACTCTCGGAGGAACAGGGCGTGCATCGCGAGTTGAACCCATTACTTGCGTATGAACATGAACTTGCTGTGCTGTGCATAAACATCTCATCTTCATGCAAGCTCCTCTCTATCTGGGCTCCAAACCTCTGTCTAAGCTGGGAACTCAGTCTCACACAGCGACGGGTCCATTTTTAAACCCTTTCATGATCTGAAACATCCTCTTGGGATGAATGGACATCTGCTCTCTGTGATATTCCTGGCTGTGGATCCTTGTTCTGACTTCTGGATAAATATAGGCTGAGTCCTCTATTCACGTCGTCTGGCGCTCTCGAGGTATTTAAAGGCTGTGCTCTGGCTTCCTCTGAGTGAAGCATTTTCCGTTTCTTCAACTGTTCTTCAGCAGGTGACTCCCAGAGCTTTACCCAGCACTCTGTGCCGGAGCATGTTTCATTTTGTAAATGTCTCTCTCTCTCTTTAAGTGTTTTCTCGAGACTTAAGAGCATTTGGCTGGTTGCAGTTTCTTAATAAACACCTATGGAGCCATTACATCTTTTGGAATAAATAGCATATTTTTTTAATCCACCTCAGGACAGCATTGGTGTCTTACATACTCTTATGTCACTGTGGGCTTGTATTAAGCATCTGGTGACATAATACACCCAAAAATATAGTCTGAAGTCATTTTTATCAATAGTGAATTCAGATTAAAATTCAATTTGGATCCATCGAAGTCACTAACTTGTATTATGTTGTGCTGTTCCTATTTAAGAGATTGTTTTCTTCTTTTTAGCTCAGTTTGAAAGCCTTACATGGATTCGTATTAAATTCTATCTTATTGAATTAGCTTATTGTCTTATGGCCTTAAAATAAGTTTAGACTCTAAGTGTACTTTCAATATACTTAATGTTCTCACAAGCTTCCTGCTTTCCAGAATTTTCATAGTGTGACATGATTAAGCCAAAACCTAATTAACATATTGACTGCATGCATAATGGTAAGCACGAAGCAGTGGATCCATCGTTATGATGTACTGGTACAGGGAGTTCAGGAAGCTTCCGGAAGGAGCCCTCACCAGCATTAGAGGCATTAGACAAGTCCTCTGGAGGAAGTGATTCCAGGTTGTGGTCCAGCGTGGAGTGGGAAGTAGGGAGAAGCCTTCAGGCTGAGAGAGGAGGATATACAAGACCGAGGCAAGAATGTGCACAGTTTGCGAAGCTACTTGGCTGAGGCACAGGGTGGACCCACAGTGGGAGTGTGGCTCTTGCAGATACTATCAAGTGGATGCAGTGAAGAATCAATGAGCTAGCCCTCTGTCTGTGACCAGGGAATAGGTCTGGATGGTGGATTGCCAGGAAGCCCATGAGATGTCTGCTGCAGCATTCTGGGAGTCTCAGCTGCTCGCAGGGCAGCAGCTCACTGGTCGTCAAGCTCACCCAGGAATTGCCTCCTTCATTCCTGCCTTCCTTCCCCATGACAGTGCTCCTGAAGACGAGTCTGTTAGCCCGATGCCTCAGCTTCCTCAGCCCCTGTGTGTCCACAGACACAGAGCAGGAGAGGAAGACTTCAGCACAAACATCTCCCTGGTATCCAGTTCTTGGGTCTAACTCTCACTGGAAACAAAGACCAGATTTCCAACTTAGCTAATGTCTAGGAGATCCAGTTGAGGTCGGGTCACCCTTTCAGGACACTGACAGTTGTGGAATACCCACGAGTTCTGTGCTTAAACCAGGGTTGAAAAACGCCAACCTATGGGGGGAATCAGGAGCGATCCTAACAACCTCTTAACAGCAGGTCATATGCACAGAGCAGGGGGGACCCCAGAGTGGAGCAGGAGGACAGGAGAAGGCTTGTATCCCAACCCTGAAGACTCCCAGATCCTCACCAAGAACTATCAGTATAGGCACCAAGGACTACATCCCAACTGCCAAGGAGACCACGGGGAATTGGAATGCCTTCAAAGGCTGAGAACTCTGAGGTCACCCACCCCCATCTGGATCTCCCACATGGGATGAAGAAGTACAAATCCTGCCTTGCAGAATCCAAGGTCATTGGAATGACAACCAGGGGCACTGAGTGGTCCGCAGAAACAGAACAGTAAATTTCCTTCGGAACTAGGGAGAGAAGCTTTCTCTGGTCCTTCCCTGGTTCTGACTTTGGGTCCCCACCCTCTCTCGTAATGACCATCAGGATCGCTCCAGAAACCCCTCAAAACAAACAAACAAAAAATCTAGAATAGATAGACAGAGAACAACCAGGAAAGATTAGAAACAGACAGGAAACGGTCAGCGGGGATGCACTTATAACTCACTGGGTGGGACACAAAGATTAGTTACTCCTCACTAGGGTATTGAAGATTTCTCTGCACACCCCTCCTAAAACTGTTCACCCAAACTGTTGACATATGTTTTGTTAGAGTTATAGAGTTAGACTACCCAAAAAACAGCCAGGTTCAGCAAAATCATGCTTCAATGCTATAACCTGCTAAATACTAAAATTAAAATAGACATGAGACAGCTGAATAGTAATCTATAGCCATTTTAAGGTGTATAGAACCCGGTTTTATATAAACTAATAATTAAAATGTCAATGTAGAAGTCACAGGATGTGGTTCAGAACTTACATTCTTTTTTTTTCTCTTTTAACATATTGGTTACTCAATATTATGTCAACTAATTCCATAATGTTATAAATTGTTACTGATGTAATGTTGGGACTTTTAATTGATCAGGATGATACTCTGCCAGCTCTACCTTCAGACCAGAGATGGTCTCCTCAAGAAACCGTTGAACTTATCTGGACAATAAGATGCTGGACTCTATGCTTTGTAGATGCTTGCAATGAAAGAATCTCAACTGAATTTGAACTGTGCAATGCAACAAAGTGGAGGAATCCACCATGGGGGGGAGCAGTTAGGGAGGGGTGGGGGAGAATCCCAATACGTATAAAATTGTGTCACATAATGCAATGTAATCAATAAAAAAAAAAGAGAGAGAGAGAAATGCCAATGTCATGGGAGTTACATCAGGCAGTAACAAGAGACCTGTGCCTGCTGTAGCACACTGCAGATATGCCCCCACACAATGGCTTCCACACTTAGGTGGCGATGGGAACTCCCTCCATTGGAGATCAGTGTGTTGCTGTGGGAATGCTTTACTACCTACCAACGGCACAGCCCCAGAACCCTGGTTTTCTTATCTTTTGCATGGGAATGAAATATATAAAAACATATGCTATTAAATAATGTATTCATGATAATTTTATATGCTATATAGGGTAT